AGAGAGAGAGAGAGAGAGAGAGAGAGAGAGAGAGAGAGAGAGAGAGATATTTATACCCATAGGCTATTTACATAGTTCTTTCTTAATTACAGCTGACAACATTCCTGTTAGATGTTGTTTTTCTTGAACTTGGTGGCCTGGCCCAAATCTCAAACATGCCTTCTGTGTCTCTGTGTATACCCTGGCTGCCTCCAGCTTTTTGTCACGCAGAGGCACTGCCCTATGCTTTTATTTTAATTTTACACACACACACACACACATACATACATACATACACACACACACACACATACATACATACATACATACATACATACATACTTCTTGAGTGCTTATCCTGAGCAGTACAGAGAAGACCACACAGTCTGTAGAAAGCCCTGGAGATCCCATTTTCTGTTGCTCTCACTGAGACAGGAGCACATTTCTCTGGTGTTCTGAATTACTTTGGCCACGTCCTCTCCAGTAACTTATATCTGTTTCCTTTCCAGTTGTCCTATTTTTAAAACTTCACATTTTCCAAGAAATTTTGCTAGTATAACTAATTTCTTCTAGTGTGTATATTTATGCATGTCTTCTATTGCTGTCCTCTTTCTTAGACTAAAATTCAAACTCACCTAGTTGCTTTTGTTAAACCATCTTCTTGCCACTCCTTCCTCTTGCTTGTTTCAGGTAATCTTGCCCAACCTGGGCTATCACACTTCAGCCCCCCACCTTCCAAATACTTTAGCTCTGAAACTCAGAGCTCTAAAGCCTGCTTCAAAGTGACTTTCCACACAGTCCCCCAATTTGTGGCTTCATGGTTTCGAATCTGTATAGTCTTCCATACTTCAGGCTTCTTACACCTCATCTGCCTATGTTAATACCATTCATGTTACATCGTGAAGACGCTGCCTAAACATGTCCACCTTTCCATGTATAACACAAATGTCATTCTTTAGACTTTTCACCCATCCAGGCATGAGATACTTTTAGATCATCCCCATTTGTATTCTGTGGGATATTGAGCATACTACCAACTTACTAAACAACTTTTAAGGAAAATAACTGAGTTTGGCAGTTTATCTTCTTTTAAAACATGACTATAGGTTGTGACAATGTACCAGGGAAACAATAAAGGCTATATCCTTGTTGAATAGCTAGTATTTAAGAATACAAACTGTCTGCCATGTGTGCAGACAGTTTCTGTCTTTGTCAACCATCATTGAAATAAGGTAGCCTATCTTAGCCAACAGAGTATTGTGCCAAACCTGGGGAGAGGAAGTCCTTTCTCTGGTCCTATTTATGGTCTTTGAAGTCATTAAGTACTCAGATTATTGCAAGATAAACCAAATGAATAGGGGATAAAACAAGAAAAATGACTAAAGGATAATTGAGTTTCCAAGCTCCCTATTGTAACATTGTTTATTATATCCTACACAACTCTGTCGCTTACCACAGTGTCTCCTGGCCCTCGTTTTATAAACTCACGATGACTTTTCCTTTCCAGAAAGCTTCTGAAGGTCCTTAAATGTCCAATTTCTTTTCTTGAGGCTGAAAATTTCAATTGCAAGTGAATATAAGTTGCCACTTTATAAGTGAGGGTGGCTTGATGGATAAATATTTGGAATATTCAAAGAAATGTTTCTCAGTGTCGCCTTTAAAACAAAAATATGTGTGATGATGTGGCTGTGCTGTTAGATACGGCCTTTGTTTTTGCTGTGCATAGTAGGTGTCAAACCCACTGATGTGCCGTACATAGTAGGTGTCAAACCCACTGATTAAACATCAGTTGGTCAGCCCACCCTGTAACCAGCTTTCAGACTTCTATAAAATAGGGATTAAAAATTAGCATTCACAAGAAAAGGTCAGTTAAGTATTGAAGAATGTAGATTGCTTCAGGCAACATCAAATTATTGAAGTGACGTGTTTTCTGAAATGTAATTGAGTTATAGAAAATAACAATAACGAAGAGTTCAGTGTTATTGACTTGAATATTGACTGTATTTCTAAATCTTATTTCCAAGCACCCTGCCCTAGCCAAGACAGGAAAACCAGGTCTATTCTTTATGATTCCAAAATACTCTTTTGTCATTAGTCCATGCTGAACTGATAGTTTTTATAGCTTGACAAGGGACCAAGTCATCATTACCTGGAGGGAATCAGTTAAATCATCTGAAGATGGCTCTTCTGCTCTGAAGGGAAGTTGGAGCTGACTGCCTGAGATTCTCTCACTCCCCAGGTGGCAAGGGTTAGTGTTGTTGAAGAACTGACAGATTTTACCCTCAGGGTGGGTAGACTAGATTGGAAAATACATAGGAGGAGAACTTGTCAAGGAAATTCAGGAAGCAGAGCTGATGCATTCTAAAGGGGATTCTTACCAGCTCCCTAGATTGAATCATAAGTGCTTATGTTTTATGGACTTATACAAGTATGCAGAAGACAAAGAGCAAGAAATATATATATATATACATATATATATAATTGGAAGATATGAAAGGGAAAATATCTGGAGGGACATAAAATTTTATGATTTGTCAGCTCATTATTTGAGATGACAATAATATTCTCATTTGAGGAACAAGTTCTTGGGGGGATAGAGTTTTTTTTTTTTTAAAGACGGTGCTTTAAGGGTGATTGACTAATGGAGTGAGAATGTTATATTGCATAAAAGTTTCAAAATTACAGGGAAAAGTTTTAGTGTCAAACAGTGAAAAGTAAACGGATGTGACACTGGACTGACTAGGCACAGGTTGGATGAATGTTGCAGGGTTCGTTCTAGGAAAAGAATACCCTGGGTAAATGTGTGCAGGCATCATACCCAACTTTATCAGTATATACAATTAGTGTGAAATAATAAAAATTAAAAGACACACTTTGGAGAAAGGATTGGCTGCGGTACGTGCATTTGTAAGCATGTTGGAGGAGGATGTGTAGCTGCAAAGGAATTTCCACAAAACTAGACTGTCGTTTGCATTTATGCATTAACTGCTTGATAACCCTGGAGCAGCTCAGTATGGGCTTGTGAGTCCTGGAAGACTAGTTTATAGTTTGCTTACAGATTTGTGATCATCTCGGCTTACCCATCATTACTTCAATTGCTTCAAATTGATCACTTATATACATTTTGTACTGCTATATTATATTCTAATGACAGTATCTCAACTTAGTATATTACTCTATTAATCACAACATTCATATTAAACACATATGCTTGCTTGTGTATGGATACATATAACTACATTCAGTTTCAAAAATAAATAGAGATGACATAGAAAATGAGCCAACATGAAATAACGTTGATGGTTCACACTATCTTTCATATTTTTTTTTACCTGCTTTACACATGCACGTGCACGCACACACACACACACATCTGTATATATACATTAGTTTTAACATATATCCTTTATACATACATGCATACTTAAATATGTAGGTATATAAATACATGTGTATAGGGCTTTATAAATTTTATATGTATGAGAATACATATTATTATATGTGAATACATAGTATATATGGAACATATATATACACTATGTACATACATATATCATATATATACATTCACACACACACATATATACATACATATATACATACATACATATACATATACACACTAGCTATTTAAGCTTAGCAAATATCACCTAGTAGGATTGTTAGTGACTCTGTGTTGCAGGAGAAGAAAATAAGAGGAGAGAATGCTAGTCATTTTTCCAAGTAAAAACGTTAAAAATGTGAGAGAGATACAATTTGGGCACAGAAAACCTGACTGCTTCACTCTCCGTCAGTTTCTCCACAAATTATTCACACCTGAGTTAGGAGTTCAGTAAGCAACTATGGCACTCTCAGATCATGGTTTCATACAAATGTTACTTAACCCGGGTGTGCTTACGTTACCAGGTCACCGGCTTTGGTGTAAAAGTGCCGTGTTTAATTAACATTGTCATATACAAGCTTCTCAGAAGTAACAGTTACTTGTAGTTACATAGAGCTCCCTGAGATGATCTGTCTGAGGTATTTTCATCTCCAGATAGAAGGTTTTGAGTCACAAAATATTTACATGGCCCAAAGGTGACATTTTTCAACCCCCAAGTGAGATATCTTCTTATGGTTTTCTCCTTGAATGTTTTCAAAATAGAAGAGAGTGAGTGAAGTGAGATGGTCTTGCTTGACATGTGGCACTGTTAGAATCACACCTGATGGCTGACATTCTTTTCCTCTCAATATTTTCCCCACAGGGTGCTGCTTTAATTAGAATGCTGGCTAATTTTATGGGCCATTCAGTTTTCCAGAGGGGCTTGCAAGTAAGTAACATGCTTTCTACGGGTTCTACCTTTTCCCTGCCATTGCATTTATATTAAGGATATTTCAGTCTTTGGGGAATTACTACTTTGATGGAGAAGTCTGAGATGTGTAAGGCAGGCTCTGTCCTTCAGTATAACCAAAAAAAAAAAAAAAAAAAAAAATCTCATGGAATGCTCAGTGTACTATCTGCCCAAACTCAAACTAGTATACAATTCAGAAGTGTTTAATTGTTACTTACAAACTGGACTAATTTTTACACATGTCAGATCCTGAAAAATTCACATAAGAGCTTCAGAAAACCTGCTATTATTTTCTGCCGTCGACAGGTTTAATTAATATGCAAATAAATTGAGAAAATGTGGGGCCTGGTTTTCAGTTGTGTACTATTTATGGTGTTGATTTCCTACTGTGATCCACAGTTGCTACTTTCCCCATGAAAACGAAATACTTTTATTTGAAAGTAAAGTGAATCGTTTAAAAAAAAAAAAAGAAAAAGGACGGAGATCATAATGTGATAATGTGATGAGATAATAATTTTGTTTTGTTGTTTTTTCTCAGAACCGTGTTCATTTCTAATGATAGACAAAAAGGTAGTGGATTCCGGACCCAGGTGGGAGGGAAGATGGGGAGGAGACGGGAGGAGTTTTGAGTATAAAACTGAAATCAGGATAATTGTAGGAGAAAAGACTCTCTATTTTCATTAAAATGGCAAAAATAACAGTTATGTTTACCGCATTTAGGGTAACAAGTGTGAAGTTTAAGAATGAATTTGTAAAAAAATGTAAATTATTGAAAAATTAAGAGCAGATATAATTATAGAGAAGTGGAACTTTAATTTTGTTGAATCTGCTGGAGTAAATCACACTTCTCAGTCACTGTGATTGATGAATTATTTATGATGCATTCTGCTACTTAGAAGTGTCCTTTAAAGTAAATTGATGTTCACCTGAAATACAATTACGCCAAGGCAGAGAGAGCAATCAATCTTATCTGTTCTTAGTAAGCTTTTCATTTTGAAATTTAAATAAACTACAACTGGGATCAGGTCATAGTTTTGTAGTATACTTCCGTCTTTATGCAACATAAGCTGAGAGATAAAATACAAAGACAAGAGTTAAATTTGATATGACAAACTGTATATTGACTGCAACAAATTAAAGAGAGTGTATGAATTTGTTGAAGAATAATTTTCCTTATAGACTTCTTTTGCAGATTAGTTTTAGCAGCCATTGAAACTTACTTTAATCAAGACTTTTCATTACAGATGCCTTTAGAATGTTTGAGTCCATTGAACATATTTGCTGAGGGATGAAGGCTCTATTTGCTGAGTTCTTGAAGGCTACATTCTGATCACATAGCTGAGATTTTTTTTTTTTGGCTTCTCTTCAAGAAGTACCCTCCATGAATATCAACTCTCGGAGGAATGGCCTTTCCTATCCCCACAGCTTTGTTTTCCCATACCAAAATTGCAACAGGATCATTTCAGAAAATATTTAAGTCTTCACAAGGGCAATGTAAATTGAATTTGATTTCCTGGTGGCAAGCTGATATGAAATCATTTCCTGTGCAAAATTTTTATTATCTGTCTTTTAACTACGTACGTGCATTTGCTCATCAGATTGCGTGACTATAGTTAAGTTATTTTGACACCTTTTTGCAAATTCTTTCCTTATCCTGTAGTATTTTCTATGGTATGTGAAATGTACTATTTCGAGTATAGTTCATATCCTGTTCCACTGACTCAGCCTCCTCAGTTTTTTGTAAAATTGCTTTAAGAACAACCCATTAAAATAAAATTTCATGCGAAGCTAGTGCTAACGTGCAGTGTTATGTCCCAATACTTGAGCTGGTTAATTTTCAACCTTGGGACTATGTTTGTCAACAGTGCGTTTCGTTTGCCTCGTGACGTCTCATTGATCATGTGGACCTGTATCCTTCAGTACTCGGCTTGCAGCTTCCTCTCCAGTTATCACTCAAACTGATTTAGTGTATCATCAGCAGTTTGGATTAGTTTACAGGAGATCCTTCTGTCTGGGTGATAAATTATCATCTCTTGTACATGAAGACGTATGGAGTACATTTTGGAAATGACCTCCTGAACAGACACTTTGTGTCATGGTGCTGAGTGGCTGGAGACTTTATATTAATAAGCTTGCCGTTCACAAGGCTCTGGGGAGCCTTACTTTATAATGTTATTGAAAGGGCTACTCTGGGATGTCAGCATTTACCTCTGAGGAAAATCTATTAATTGTTTTTACGTTAGCCATGGGCATTTCTGTGTTGTCAAAATGAAAGTTTATTATTTTCAAACATACTAGGTTTATACTTGCTGGCTTGAAAAAAAACCCCAAAATGCAAATGAGGCGTGGTTTCATATTCTAGTCATCCTTCTTTCCCCCATTCCTCTTTCACTCTTCTTGCTTTATCTGTTTTTTTCCCTTGAGAACTTAAATGACACTCCCCTGTTGTACTTAAAACAGTGTTATTACAGCTGCTGCTTCTTGATATCTAACAAAATGTGTGTTCAGCTGATACTTTTTGGACCTGTATGGGCTATCCTAAGCTCTTTTTCGAAACAAGGCAAACATTATTTTCAAATACACTATGCATTCATTTATCTTGTAGATGCCTGGGTCCATTTATATATTCAATATTTTTTAGAAAATATCTGACTAGAGAATAAATAATGTTTTATATATTACACAGGAATCTATGTGCCAATATGAATTTTAAATTCAAAATGAATATATCTCTCAGAAGGCAGGGATTTGAGAATTTTTTTTGTTCCTATTTGTTATATAACACAGAGATAAGCTATAAGAAACCAGGGAGTAAATCCACAATTGGGTAATAATGTCTAGTTTCAAAGTAATTCCAGATTTTTGTATATCTTATAATTTCTGAGTACAGTTTCATGTTTAACTGCTGCACTTTTTCATGATCTTTAAAGAAACTTATCTTAAATGTCTTGTAAATAGGTTATGTTCACAAGTTAAAATTAGTTCACGATTTTGCTAATACGTCAGCTTTAAATTTTGCGTTTAAACTGAAAGTGGAACTTGCAGAATGAACGGAGTTTAAACTTTTCTGTTGTTGACTATACATACCATTCATAAATAATATATGGCAAGACACAGCAGTGGCTATATTTCTGCAAGCTCTACATATCTAGTGTTATATATAATCCATTACACAAAATGATAACAAGCAAATTTTGTGGGAAGCTTGAGGCAACAGTATAAGCAGGGAGAAATAATTCTCATTTCTCTTTCTAATTAATGCTGAACTCCTACAAGCTGCAGAGTCTCTTCTGGCCTGTAACCTATGCAAAACTAAATTTTCCATCTTTCATGGTTTCTATATATAGGTTTTATTTAGCGCAGTTGATCATTTAGGCAACTGGCATTTGATATTTTCAATTGAGGACGGCTCTTTTAATTTGATGGAGATTCAGCTTAAACTGCCTGCATACGAGTGACTCTCTGTTCTTGAACTTCCTGGTAGCTTTCTGGATATTAGACTCGGTGGATTTTAATGCACGTGGCAATGCAACTTTATCAAACCAGATGAGCATCCATTGCAGCTCCTGTTAGTGATGGGCTTTGGTTTTCTGGTATGAAAATCAAGTTATGTTGCCACCATGATATTTGCTAAGAACTTCTTGAAGTTTTTTTTTGTTTGTTTGTTTGTTTTCATGGCGTATGTTATGCCTTTTCTTTTTGATGTTTTTATTTCTTTTATTTTTTATTGGATATTTCATTTATTTACATTTTAAATGTTGTCCCTTTTCCGTTTTACCTCTGCAACCCCACTATCCCATGCCCCTCCACCTGCTTCTATGAGGGTGCTCCCCCACCTACCCACCCACTCCCACCTCACCGCCCTGGCATTCCCCTACACTGGGGCTTCAAGTCTTCAAAAGACCAAAGGCCTCTCCTCCCACTGATGCCAGGTAAGGCCATCCTCTGCTATATATGCAGCTGGAGCCATGGGTCCCTCCATGTGTACATTTTGGTTGGTGGTTTAGTTCCTGGGGGCCCTGGGGTGTTGGGTTGGTTGATATTGTTCTTCCTATAGGGTTGCAAACCCCTTCTCCTCCTTCAGTCCTTTCTCTAACTCCTCTATTTGGGACCCTGTGCTCAGTCCAGTGGTTGGCTGCAAGTATCTGTATTTGTCAAACTCTGGCAAAGCCTCTCAGGAGACAACCATATCAGGCTCCTGTCAGCATGCACTCCTTGGCATCCACAATAATGTCTGGGTTTGATATGAGATGGATTCCCAGGTGAGGCAGTCTCTGGATGGCCTTTCCTTCAGTCTCTGCTCCACACTTTGTCCCTATATTTCCTTTTGACACGAGCAATTGGGGGTCTCTCTTGTTCATAAAAATAAATGTATGTACAGATAACTTACCAGAAAAACAATGCTCACATCCTACTGTCTTGTTGATAGTGCATGCATTTTTATTCACCAGAGAGCTTAGCATTCAATACATGAACATTAATTTTTAACCACAAGTAGAAATGCTTATGGTGATAATATACACAAGATTGTTTCATTAGTATCTACATTTTAAAACCTTTGTTTTGTAATTTAGGTTCAGTTCCTATAGCCTGAAGCCCTATTCCACTTGTGTATTATAGGATTACCTTAAAAATAACATACGTTGGTAGTACTGTGTGCAGACAGAATCTCTGTGAAATTATTTGGAGCCTCCACGTTTCTTAGTTACTTGTTTTAATAAACCTAAATTCATTTTTCTCTCTTTTTTAATTTGTCTGAAAATAAAGTTACAAATATGCAATCTTTAAGGAACATTGATTGGTCCAGGAGCTATTAAAATAATTAATCCACAGTTGCTTTTTCCTTTAAAACAAGACAATATTACCCTAACACTCTGAGACTGGCAGTATCATTCTTCCTGTTTTTATGAATCAACATCAGAGAGATAAAAATATTTAAAAATATATTTTTTTAAAGCTTGATACAAACTCAAATCCTA